AGATTAAAAAAAAAAAATAAAGATTAGAGCAAGCCTGTGTCTCAGTGAAATCCAAGGTAGTAGGAACACAGCTAGGATCTCTTTTCTGTACATTCTTTTTTGTTTAATGATTTCATTTGTCTTTAAATCTCCCAATACTCACCAAATTCAAGCTGACCCAAGAGAATCCTTTAGAGCTGGATCTACCCACCCCAACATCCAATCTAGGACCAGCCATGGGACCTCAGAAGTGGACGTGCTTGTGAGGACCCCACAGTGGAGGCGAGGGGAAGCAGTCTCAGTTCGTCTAAGGTCAGGGAATATTTAGAGTTCAGGAATGGAAAAAGAAAAGCTATCAAGGAAGCTAGGAATCCCAAAGACAAAGGCTGTTGTCCCAAAACACAAGACAGAAGAGGGCTTGAAGAACTGGGTAGTCAGCCCAGTTGATGGCTCTACTTGTAATCTTAGCTACTTGGGAAGCTGAGGCAGGAAGGTTGAAAGCTGAAAGCCATTCTGAGTAGGCCTCTTTCTAAAGACTTAGAAAGACCCCATCTCAAAATAAAAATAAAAGTATTAAGGAGATAGCTTAGCATTCCCTGGGTTTAATGCTCAGTACAAAAAACAAAAACAAGACCCAATGGGTAGTCAACAACATCAAATGCCTCAGAGAAATTAGAAAAAATGAAAGCTAAGCAACTAACAGTGTTTACTATACAGAATCTCAGACGATAGTGTTGAAAATAAATAATCCACAGACAAGCCATTGTTATTTTGCAGAGTTTTGTAGTACCCAAACTCCTTTTCCTGTTCAGCCACAGCTTCTGGTGATATAATCCATAACTACTAGCCTGAAATTGAATGCATACCCTGAGAGAAGAAAATGATAAGCAGGGCCAGTGGTGGCTTCAGTGGAATGACCCCAAGAAGTTTCATGTTAGAAGTTTTAAAACAAGATCTGAAAAAGAGGACCAGCGATATAGCTCAGTGGCACAAGCACCTGCCTGGCAAGCACAGGGTTCCTGAGCTCAATTCCTGGTACCAAAAAAAAAAAAAAAAAAAAAAAGACTGCTGAACCAGTAATTGTTGTATTAATGTCTATGTTGTCTCTATTCATATGTCCAGTTCCAGCATATCAGCAATTAGCAAAAAAAAAAAAAAGTTCTTATAAATCACACCTTTTCATTTCAGGTGTTTTGTTCCCAAGAATCTTGCCATGTTTGGGAGATCTGGGGCAGCAGTACAAAATATCTGTCTGCACGTAAGTTTTACTGATTGAAGCTGAAGTTTTATAACTTTCAAATCACACCCACGTTGTTTACCGCAAGTACTAACTATGTGTAAAACTATATGTTAATTTCTTATTGACTAACCTACTGGCATAAGATTATGCTGCATGGATTACTAGATTTTGTGCCACGGGATCTAAAACCCAGTCCATATTCTTCACAAATGACAGGACATGGTACAATGTGAGTGCTCAGTAAATATTTTATAAATGAATGAATCTGTCAGGTTTTTTATTATTAATATGATCGCCATCATGAGCTATTATCTTATATCAGGAATATACTTACTATCAGACTAACTAAGACCCTAACTCTGGAGTCAGATTGCCCAAATTCAATTCCTGGGGTACTCTTGCTAGCTGTGTGATCTCTCAGATTCTTTAATAATACAGAGTAATTTCAGTGTCCACCTTGTAAGATTTTTGTAAGTTAAATGAGACAATGCAGGTCAAGTTGTACTTAGAATAGTCCCTAGGGATTTCTCAATAAATGTTTGCTATTATTATTAAATATTTCACATTTATTTTCTATATATCAAAATATCATTTTAGGCACTGGGGAAAGTACTATTCTTAAATGATATGGTGAATATGTAGCTTCAATAATAAGGTGAAGACAGAACTAAATGTTTGTATGTCAATCAGACAGCCTAGAAATGAAGCATTTCACCTAAAAGAAAGAGTTTAGCTATCACCCTCACTCCCAGTCTCCACGAAAAGATTCCCTCAGTTACAGCTATTTTGGTCAATTCTGCGACTGGCTGTAGCCAGGACCTCCCTGTTCCTTTGCATAAGGGAGGCAAAGACCTCGGCTGTGACCCTTGGCTAAACCTCTGGGACAAACCCAGTAGCCAGCAGGCCTGCGCACCCACTTCTGTGGTTATGCTGGGAATACAAAACAAAATTGAACATCAGATTGTGCAGATGTAGCTTCATTCAGAGAATCTTTATCCACACAGACTAGACCACCACGGAGATCATTCTCTCCAAACTCCAGCAGCACAGGGATGCCAATCAGGGGAGTTGGTCCTGAGGACCCTAACATCCATTCCTGGCTCCCATATGGGTCTTGATTTAGCAACACTATTTCCTTTCTCCTGACAACTCTCACGTTGTTGAGAGATTGTTTCCAGATCTCATGGCTCACTCTGTCCTACTCCAGACCTCAGCAGGGTTTACTTCTCCTTTTATGAGTTTGCCAGGAGCAAAAAGTAACATCCCAACCCCTGTCAACTCCACAAATTTATTGCACTTAGCTGAAAGAACACTTGTTACTACAGGAGTTCCATATGCTTCAGCAAAGAGAGGATCCCAGCTTATGGCTGTGAGGGTCCTGCTGACACAGCCTCATTTTAGCTGTACAGTCATGAATAGGGCGACATCAAGACCCAGGAATATTGCTAAGGTATAGACGCAGATGCCGGCACTCAGAGAGTAGTAGCCCCCAGCTGCCTGCAGTGACAACAGGTTTTTGGCTTGGGTTGCTGGATACCACCCTCCTCCACCCCACTGCCCACCTATATTTTCTTCCTTACCAACAGAACTCTACGTGTATTCGTGGCAGCACAATCCTCATCTTTAAAAAACTGCATTTTCCAGGCTGCCTTGCATGGTTAAGATCAGCGACTTTACAAGGTAAAGTCTCCTGGAGATTTCTGCAAGTTTTGCCTTCCTGATATAGATGTTGTCCCTCATGTTCCCTGCCTGCTTCTCTCTAGGATTTGGGTTTTGTGAAAGCTAATTTGACTGATTCTGCATTTCCTTTAGATTGTTTCCCAGGTTGTAATTTTACTCAAAGGTTTTGAGAGTGGTAGATGTCTGCTTTCTAGATAGTAAAAGAGTTCCTATGTATGAATCAATTACCTTAAAAATTGATTCATATAATTGGATGCTGAATGTTCTAAGTGAAAATCAGTGAATATCTGGCCTTTGACAAAGCTACTAATTCATTTACAGGCAAACCTGAGACTACCTAATTACAGAAAGATAAAAAAGTTTGAAACATGAGCAATTTATTTCAATAAATGAAAAAAGGAGTAATTTTGCTACAGTGGGAAACAATGAACTTGAAAGTTTCTACCTTTAACCGTATCCCTGCTCACCTCTGTACAATGTCTTTATCTCAACGTTTCAATTCCCTCTACTTTCTTTCATAGCAAGCTATTGAATGAGAAATGTATCAAGTTGACTGATTGTTTGACATATCTGATCTAGAATGGTTTCCACACCACTTTTCTCTTTCTTGTTTTCCCCCAGTAAATGCTTTCAGTTTTGACATTTACCATATTGGAAAAGGCAGGTGTCTCACGACAGGCATCTCAAAGCAGAATGTTTGCTGAGGATTATTTTTTAATGGAGCAGAATGTAGTTTTATTGACTCTTTGAAATGCAGAAATAAGTGAGTCTCCTTTATTATGAAACAAAATCCAAATGACTGACTATAAACCCAAGAAACGAACAGAGAACTTCAAGATTTAGTGTGAACACGTGTATTTTTCAAACCCTGACATTTTTGTAAAGTACATTTATAATCTAAATGCCCCCTCTCCCTTCTCCCCTTACAACATACCATCTCAGACTCTTTGTTTATAAAATCAAGGCCTTAAGAAAAAGCCTTATTTGCATTCCCATGAAAGAAAATATTTGTTGCTAGGATCACTTTAACTGAACTTGACTAAATCCTAGTAGAGGCTTCCCTTTTTATCACAGACACATGAGAGGATGGAAGATCTTTTATCAACAAATGCTTATTAGTACAGTTGAGCCATTAATTAAATTACTCAAATGCATTACTGAGTTTCTGCTACATGTAACTATGGCTCCCAAAGCAGCCGCTCTTCCATAGCTGTAAAGTTTGCCACTAAAGAAGTTTCGAACTCTGATAGACTCAAAATATTCAAGGGACAAGAAGTTTCTGTTGTTGCTGCTGCTGCTTCCAGAAGTGCGCCGTTTATTCCTAGGGAACATGTCAAGCATTGGGAAAGTGTAACTCAAGCTCAAGCACTCATAAATGATGGATTTAGGAGTTAGGGACCAGCTGTACATTTTTGCCATAACACCTTCTGGTGCTTCTCACTGGTATCTGTGCATAACGGTGGAGAATAACACCAGTTTTAAAAGAAGCCAATGCCAATTTTAGAATAAACCAGGAAACGGACAAATTGCTATTTATGGGAAAAGTAAAAATATAGAAACACCCACCCCTCCCCCAGTGCTAAAATTACACTTCCTCAGACACACAGCCATCCTGGGAAAGGTGGGGGCAGACATGGAAAATGTATAGCATGTACTAAATATAGCTCATGCAGACAAGGATTTTGTATGTGGTTCCAAAGACTCTCCAACTGATTTTTTCAACACTGTAATTGAAGGGATGGAAACTGAGGAAATTCTAAATATTTTCTCAGATGTAGCTGGCAGGTTTCTTACAGTCCCCAGAGTGACACATTACGACCATAACACAAGCTATTTTGTCTGTCACCCATAAGACATGATTTCTCAGGACATCAGAGTCCCAAGGTCTATGAGTTTCTTTCATGTGCCTCTTATTTTTCTTGTCCTGAAACTAAGTAAGTTCTCTTCCCAGGTCAAGTGTTATCTTCCGGCAAAGGACCTTGTGGGATAAATATGCTGCATCATTTATATATCCCATGAGTCAAGCCTCAGTTTACAAACTTAAAATCAGCTCCTGGTCTCTCTCTCTCTCTTTTTTTTTTTTGTTGTTGTTGTTTTCTTCCAGTACAAGGAATTGAACTCACGACCTTGCACTTGCCTGGCAGGTGCTTTGCCGCTGAGCTAAATTCCCAGCCCCATCTTGGTCTCTCTTCTGTGCAGAACTCCCCACACTTACTTTAAAAAGATCATTTAAAACACTAGGGAAAAAGTCCCTCTGAAGGTGAAAAACTCTTTACAAAATCAAACTCAAACTCATCTCTTAAAAAGATCCTCCTTAGTCACCTATTCAGAAACATGCTAGTCTTATCATTTTCTAAATGTGGTGATTAAATAAAATTAAATGAAAATAATAGTGATTAAATTAAAAACTTAAAATAAATTAAAAAAAATAGCCTGGAATTTTCAGGGAAAATAATAGAGAAAAATCTGGTAAATTCACATTCCTTTCTGTATCGGTTTCCACAACGAGTGGGCAACACTGCCCTCTAAAGGGCATACTGTGTTACATCTCTTAGTTCACAAGGTCAGAAATACCTCCGGGATTCACTGACTGGCCAGAGCACTGGCGATCTCCTCCCTTCTTTCTCATGCTTGTGGGACAGTGTGTCCTTGACCTTCCCTGAATGATTCTCAAGACTATAGCGCCCCTACTGACCAGGCTTATTGAGGAAATCAGAAATCAACATTTGCTGCACTGAGGGTTCTCAGCCCTCAGTGTGCATCAGAATTGCCTGGAGAGTTTGTTTAAAGACGAGTGGCTGGGCCCCACATCCAAAGTTTCTGGTTCTGTAAATCCGGGGTTGAGTCCCACAATTTGCCTGTCTAAAAAATTCCCTGGCGATGCTAATGAGCCATCCAGGAGGCACCCTGTGAGCCAGGCGCTGTGTTAGGCACCTTGTCTCAGTATCTCACAATAGGCTAAGATCTTAGTATCTCTGTTTTACACACCAGAAAACCAGTCTCAGAGAAAAGTCACACAGTAGCGTCAAAGCCTGCAAAAAAACTCAACACTCACTGTTGTCTTTTCTACACTGGGATGTCAGTGACTGACACCTTTCTTGGCCTCAGCTTCTCCATGCAAGGGGGTGGGGGACTGAGAGGATCACTCTGGTGACTTTTCTCTCAGGGTACCTAGAGGTCTGGGTGGAAGTCACCCTCGCAAGGTGCACACCACAGCCCGGCTGGCTCTGTGAGTGGGTAAGCTCAGGGGACAGGAAGGAGAGGTCATGTCAGCCCTAGTCCTCCACTGGGTTCTGAAGCCCCTACAATGCTCAGAGAGGTTCTTTGTATCAGAAACTCTGGGAGAGAGGTGTTAAGGCAAGTGCATCTTCCCAGGAGCACTCCAAGGACCTCAAAGCCTAGCGGAATTTGGGGAGGACAAAGTGCGTGCCACCCCACTCCACCCCTCTCCACCCCTCCCCTGCTTCAGCTTAAAGCCTCGGGGCAGGGGCAGGGACCCCAAAACAATTCTAAAACAGGAGCAGCTGCCCCACTGTGTGAAGCCAAGGAGGTTTTTGACACAGAAAAATGGTTGCAGGTCACACACTCCACTAGGGTCAATAAGAGAGAGTCCCTAGGGCTCAAGGCCAGCCAGGGCAGCAGGATGTTGAGAAAGAAGGGCCCTGAGGAATCGTCCGCTCCCGGCACAGTTTTTCTCATCCTTTGCACTCAGTTCCGCACCCAGCTTGGTGGTGTCCTGGGGGATCCCGTGGGGACGGTTTCTGGCCGTGGTCCTGGAGAGAAAGGATGTCCTCAGAAAAACAGCGCTGCGTGCCGGGCAGCGGAGGCCCCGAGGTCGTGGTCGCGGCCGGGCTTGGTGCGGAGCTGGACCCGGGACTCCAGCTGCTCACTGAGCTCGTCCAGGGCCCCGGTGCAGGACTCCAGGCTCTCGGCCAGTTTCTGGATCTTGGCCTTCAGCACGGCCTGACTAACCTTGGTGGCCCCCTCGGCGCGCCTGGGGATGAGGAAGCCTCGGGACCCAAAGAAGACGATGAAGTAGACCGAGTTGTACAGGGCCATGGACGCGTTCCTCCCGCTCTGCAGCAGCCGGGCGTCCCCGCGGCCCTGCCAGCGGGAGAAGAACTCGAGGCAGCTCAGGATGTCGCGCATCTGGTCCTGGCAGGTGGCCGCGATCTCCTGCACCCGCCGCACCTCCCGGGAGTTGCAGAAGACGACGGAGAGGTCGGACGTGATGGTGACGGCTCCTCCGGCGGTGGCCACCCCCAGCCCGACGGCAGACGCCACCAGCGAGGCGCCCAGGGTGACCGGGCTGAGCGACAGCCCCACGATGGCGGCCACTGCGCCCGCCGCGCTCAGCGAGCTCCCCGCCACGTGCGCCGCCA